GTGGTGGTTGGGGTGGTGGTGGTGGTGTTGTTGTTGCTGTTGTTGTTGTTGGTGGTGGTGGCGGCGTTATTGTTGCTTTTGTCGTTGTTGTCGTTATTACGGACCCGTATTCATAAGATTACGGGTTCGGAGGTTGTGTCCTTGGGAAAGGCACTTTACACTCCTCATTTGGATCGGTCCTTTCGGAGATGGACTTTAAACTCGAAAGTCCCGCTTCTTAAATAATCTAACAGTGTTGATCATGGTGTTAAACTTCTACCATTTTCAGACTTACGTGAACTTGGCTGACAGGTCAACTTTATTCTGAATACATTTTCCGCACAGCTCTTTCCAGTCAGCATCGGGGAACTTTTCCCTGATCGGCTGCATTCTCTCCTTTAAGATGTTACAGGCACCAATGGCAGCCTAGGCAAGTACGAGAGGGAGGTGGAAGGGTAGAATCATGTTCTAAACTCTCATCAACAAGATCAGGTCTTTTTAAGATATTACTAAAATGCTTTCTTTCGAGAACATTGTTAGGAAAACTAAAAAACCATTACACTGATTTTTTTTTAACAAAGGAAGACAGAGAGGGGGGGAGAGATTTATATGTACACACACAGATATAGGCTACACATATATCAAGAGATGAGTTCAATTCCCGAGTGGGGAGAAATTTATATCCAGAGGCCTGTCTCTGTCTGTCTGCTGAGACGCTGTGTCCCTCTCATCCTGGAGTTAGCCCTGACAAGAAAAGTCGACGCAACCACTCTCCTACATCAGCTAAATTGTGTCAATGGTGGCTATAATATATTATAGTAGTATTGAATTACAGTGAAGTCCACTAATACCAAATCTGTGGAACAACCCGATTTTCTTCGATATAACTCAATTTATTTTCAGTTAGAAAGATTGCTAAAATAGGATAAAAAAATTGTTTTTTCCTTTCGGTTAACCACTGTTTTCGGATTAACCTTGTTTGGTTAACACGAACTCTACTGTCGTTTCAATTTCTTATGAAACGGTGGGCCTGGATAGTTTCAATTGCCCAACTGCACACATCATGAGGGCAACCCTTGTCTATCTAATCACCACCAAGCATAAAGGGGGGGGGGGCAGTTACAGTGGCAACAGCAACTGCAACAACAGTGACGACGGCAACAACAACATCAACAAAAATAATTACCCCACCAACAAGAACAAAAACAACAACAAAAACAACAACAACAACTAAAACATCAAAAACGACAAAAGATACGAGGTATCACCTTCTTTTTTAAGGAACAACAATTACAGAAGCAGTAGCAGCAGCAGCAGCAACAATGTTCAAGTATTTTTTTCAACCATGATAACATCAAACAATCTTAAATCATAACTAGCATCCGGCACCAAAAAAGTGGGAATAATAATGACACCAACAACAATAATGATAACAACAACAACTACAAAAATGACAATGACGAAAACAACAACAACTACAACAATGAAAACAACAACAACTACAACAATGACAACAACATCAAAGACAACAACAACAACAACAACAACAAAAACGACGATGACTACGACACAACAACAACAAAAAACAACAGCACCATCAACAACACCATCAACAACGACAACAACAACAACAACAGCAATAACAACAACAACAACAAAAACAACGATGACTACGACACAACAACAACAACAGCAATAAAATCAACAACAGTCACAAAAACAACAGCAGCAAAAAACAACAACAATAACAACAACAACACCATCAACAACAACAAAAAACAACAATAATAACAACAACAACAACATCAACAACATCAACAACGACAACAACAGCAACAACACAAGTCGTCTCACCTGCATGGAGGATTCACTGGCGACACTTCCCCCAGATACCCAGCTGTTGGGAGAGATGATACTCTGGTTGGGCCGGATCTTCACTCTGTCTATGGGAACTCCCAGAGTGTGAGCCACGCCCTGAGCTACCTGCAGGGGTATGCGAACAAAATAAAACATACACGCGTGCATACATACATATAAACATGCATGTGCTCACACAGATACATGCATGCATACGAGCACACACATACACACACACACAACCAAATACATACATATGCTCACACACATGCCAAAACAAATGGACACAGTCGCACGTGCGCACACACACACACACACACACA